TCATGCTCAATAAATGATGAGGTAGGAACCAAATTTTACCAGCCTGGTTTTATTTACTTATTTTGGTTATTTGAGACAGGGTTTCTCTGTGGCTTTGGAGCCTGTCCTAGAACTGGCTCTGTAGACCAGGCTGGCCTGGAACTCACAGAGATCCTCCTGCCTCTGCCTCCAGAGTGCTGGGATTAAAGGCGTACGCCACCAACGCCCAGCTCAACCTGGTTTTAAAGTGGCAGAAAAGTTAAGAGGTTAACATTAAAAACTGTTAGAAATGGAAAGATAGGGAGGAACAGACAGACGATGAGGCACAGGCAGCAGGCACGGAGCCTGGCGTTGGACAGTAGGGCGGCTGCCTTTCACACGGAAGGAAAGAGCACAGGTATGCATGGGGACTGCCGCCTATGACCTTCAGTGTCCTCTTTAAAATGGGAGGTAGGGTTGTCTGAGCATGGAGAAGGCGGAAGATGAAACAGAAAGTCATGAATATTACAAGTGCATTTGTGAAAGATGGAAGAGGAACCTGACTACGGATGAAATGCATTATTGTTTTAAGGATCAATAGCCTGGATGTGTGAATTCAGAAGGGATCAATGGAGATGACCCTTTGCTTCTGAATCCTATCCTTACGTCCCCTCCCATTAACAAAATGTGCATTGAGTCCCTCTATGTGTGGGGCTTCAGGACAATACACGCAAGACGAAGTCCATATAGTATTATGATAAGAAAAGAGCAAGCAGAAAAAAAATCAGTACAACAGCAAAGAACTGTGTGTGTGCGCGCGCGCATGTGCGTGCATGTGTTTGTGCACGCGCGTGTGCGTGCGTGTGTGCGCGTGCGTGCGTGTGTTGCACTTTGTATAGGTGAGCTCACCTGTACTTCTCTACTTGAGAGGACAGAGGTTGATGTGGGGTGTCTTCCTCTATCAGTCTACACCCTCATTTTGGAGACAGAGTCTCTCTCGGGGAACCTGGGACTCAGTTTTGACTAGACTGGCTAGCCAGGAAGCCCAGGGGACTGTCCGTCCTGTCTCCACAACTCCAAAGGTGGGCTGACAGATGCACACGCCATCTAACTTTCCTGTGGGTGCACGGCAAGCTCTGGGCCCATTCAGCCATCTCACTGGCCCGCAATAGCAAGGGGAGTTTTATAGGAAGAGTTCACAGCATTATGCAGATGTGCGCCGCCCTTTTGTCTGTCCCTTCCATGGCTGTCTTCACCCACCGCCCTCCCCAGCTTTTTAAGTCTCTGTTCAGCACACCATTGCCATGCTGTTGTCTGTGCAAGTGACAGAGAAAGACAAAGGGAAGGGTAGCAGGAGCTTGGGGGCAGAGACAAGGGGGAGGAGGGTGTGCTGTGTAGGCCAGGCAGTACAGGAAAGGGGCAACTGAGTCCCAGCGAGTGTGGAGGGAAACTAAACTACAAGTGCTAGGTGAAGGCACATGCCTACAGCTCCAGCACATGGGAGGCTGAGGCAGGAAGGTCCTAAGTTCATAGCCAGCTTGGGCTGCATAGCAAGACCCCATGGAGTTGAGGGTTGGGGGTGGAAAAAAAAAAAAAGAAAAAAGAAAAGAAAAAGGAGAAGGAAGAAATAAAATGCATCTAAACTGGAAGGGAAGAAGAAAATTATCTCTCTTTACAGATAACATGATCTTTTATAGAACACCAGAATAGTTATAACCCAAACACAGGAAAAGTGTTAAAACCATAAAACAATTTCAGCAAAGCTGCCAGACAGAAAAAGAATTAACAAAGAAAACTAAGAAATCACACAAGAAGATAAAAAGTAACAAATATTTAGAAGTTTAGGTAGGTGAGAGATGTGTTCACTGAAAACCACAAACAGACAGGAAGACATCATGTGTTCATATATTGGAAGACGATACAAAGCACTCTACCAATTTCATGCAATGGCACTTCACAGAAATAGGAAAAAGCCACCTCAGAATCGATATGAAATCTCAAATAGCCTAAATGGCCAAAATAATCTAGAAGAAGAAAAAAGCTGGAAGCTTCTCACTTTGTAATTTCTCAACTTCTTGAAAGGCAACAGTAATCAAAACATGGTTCTGGCGTACAGACATACACACAGATACACAAAACAACACAAAACCTAGAAACAAAGTTCCATTTCATATAAAATATCTTCAACAAAAGTCCCAAGACCACACAGCAAAGAAAAAAATACTTTTCTATGAATGGTGCCAGCCCAGACACCCATATGCAAAACAACGAGGCTGTGCCGTGCCGTAGTGTTGCACCATATGCAGATTAAACATACAGGCCTAAACAGACCTGCACCTATGAAGCTCCTAGATGCAAACATGGGGGAAAGCTTAGCGCCGCTGCATGTGGCACCCACTTCTGGGATGTGAGTGACACTAGAAGCTGAGGCAAGGGCTGAGGAGATGAGTCAGTTGGGGATGTACACGCCCTGCGTGCACGAGGATCTAAGTATGCAACCCCAGCACTCACGTGAAACACCAGGGTGACATCTGCAACCCTCGCCCCGAGGAGCAGACAGAGATAACCAGGACCTGCTGGCCAGTTAGTGTCACCCAATCAATGAGTTCCGGGGTTGATGAGTAACTGTCCCCAAAAACAATGTGGAGGGCAATTAAGGAAGACACTCAACACGGACTTCTGAGCAACACACGTACATGCAGACACATACACCACACACAAAAATCTACTCAGAGCAAAGACAGACAAGCGGGCCATCAACTTTAAAAACTTCTGGATTCCCAAAGACACAACAAAGTGCAAGGCCAACATAAAGACGAGGAAGGAAAAACCCTGCGAATCATCTCCTAAGGGTTAATATATGGGATATATAAAGAATTCAGACAGCTCAACAACTAAGCTAAAGGAAGAACTGGGCAAAAATCTTCAACAGACTTTTCTCCAAAGGAAAATGGGGGGGGGGGGAGAGTGAAAAATACTGTATCTTTAGAAAAATGAAAATAAATACCGCAACACACTGTAGTGAGATAGTCCTTCTGTGGCACTGACCACGCCCATTGGGGGTGGAGCCATGGGCGGAGGTGACCTGAGGAAGGAGGTCGGAGGGGGCGAGGAAGGCGCCCTCTCTTTCTGGCGTGACTCGGACAGGAGAGGATCGGGTTGAATTTCCTGGTGTTCATCTGTCTAGGTTGTAAGTTATTTCTCCCTAAATAAACATCTATTCAGCCTATTTGTTTATCCTGATCCTTATTTACCGCAATAACACACCTCACATCCATCGCAGCAAAGCAAAGGTTAACGCAGATGTAGAGAAACTGGAATTCTTTTTGCACTACTGATAGTACTGCAAAAGCTGTTAGCAAAAACAATTTGAAGGCTCCTTAAAAAAACTAACATTCCCACACAAAATCCAGCAGCCATCCTTCTAGGTATGTCTCTAAAACAACCACAACCTAAGAGGCGTTTGCTCTCCCAAGTCCACTGCAGCATTATTGCCAATGGCCAGCAGGCAGAAGGAACCCGAATCTCGGCTGGTTAATGAGTCGCGCATGCTGTACACACACAGAGGTATATAATTGTTCAGCCTTTAAAGTGACAAGGCTACCCCCATTCTACAGTGTGAATACTGAGGGCAGCTGACAAGTGCAATGGGCCAGCCACCGACGGCAGACTCGCGAGGGGTGAGGGAAGGGAACCAGGACGTCCAAAGGGCGTAGTTTCAGCTCTGCAAAAGCAAAGGCGTCCAAGAAATCTCCTGCACAACAACGTGAGTGCACTCAGCATCGAGCCACTGTGAATAATCAAGGTGGGAAACCGGAAAGTGAGAAGGCCCATGAGGCATCATCAGCCTATGCAGAGGTGTGATAAAGAGAAGAGCAGGCACGGGAGCTGCCTCTGCAGCCGTAATCTCAGCACAGGAGGCAGGCCTGCCTTCTGTCAAGCTGTCTCAACCCTTTCAGAGCAAGGCCTCTTCATCCTGGAGAACCGAGGGCCCTTTAAAAGGTCAGACTTCAGGGAGTAAAGGGGACCTCTGAAGACACAGATTTTCACCTGGCGGGCACGGGGGCCCCCGTGACCAGCATCAGTGTACCTTAGGGTCCCTGCAAAGGCAGTACAGGCTCCCCTGAGCACCAGGTCAGAACAGAGGAAAGGTCTGCTCTCGTTCACCTTTCAAATGCTAAGCTCAGTGGACACTAGCTAACAGAACTCGGTGCTTAGCTCCGAGAATACTTACAAAGACAGAACCACTCTGCTGCAAAATACCAGACCACACACTCAGGGTCAAGGTTTCTGTCAGCGGTAAGCTGAGAGCACTCATAGAAGTATCAAATGTGGATGTCTTTCCCAATATTATTCCTCACGCTTCCCTACTCAGCAAAGCAATATTGAATGTGTCTGGCACACACAAGACGTGGCATTTGGTCACTTATAAAGACTACAATTATGTTAAATCTTTATGACATTTTTGCATTTTTTAAATTTTTTTTTGTTTTTATGATTTTTATACCAAAGAAAAATCTGTTTATGAGCTGGCACTTTCTTCTCCTGCTATGTCTGAATGCTGATACAACCCATGATTATACTAAATTCCTTATGCAAACACAAAGGGTGCTAAGCTGTGACCTCATTTAAATTAACCAATCTAATGAAATAGGCGAAGGTAGTCAGTCACAGGGGATGGAGAAAGCAGAGCCAACAAATATCCAGCAACCAGGGGCTAACAATAGTGTCCACAGTAAGACAAACTGGACAGCAATCCCAAGGAGATACAGGAGTTACGGTTTCAATGTACTACTACTTGGGAGAGGACCGTATTCTGTCCAGAATGTGTCCTCATGTCTTCAATAACAAAGTGAAGAAATACCGCTTGCTTTCCGACCTCATTAACCACATGCATTAATGTGTGTGTTACAGGTATAATTAACTGTACAGTGTCGTATGGGTAATTACATGGGACAGGTCACCAGAAGCGTTTGCCTTTGCTTTTTCCTTCGGGTCTCCCTGTAGCAGGGTGCAGATGGGGCAGGACTATCAACATTTACCAGTGCTTTCCATAGAGCCAGTGACCTCCCCACGTCAGCAGACACAGCCCCGCTGTAGTCTTCTTCCAGTGATTTCGAAGTGTTTTGAAGAATGCAGTCATCTTCTCCTGCAGGTTTGACAGGCGGGAAAAGAAGAAGAAAACACAATTATCCAAGATAAGCATGGAGCACCCCATTATTCATGCCCTGTGGTCTCCCCATCCCCACTCCCTTTGCCACGCCTGCTGTGGCTCTTCTCGCCCTTTCCGTCCAGTCTCAGCAGCAGCGCCTTCTCATCCACTCAGCAACCGTCATTTCCTTTATTCACGCTCCTTTTGTTTTTTTGTTTGGTTTGTTTTGTTTTTCGAGACAGGATTACTCAGTGTAGCATTGGAACCTATCCTGGAACTCGCTCTGTAGACCAGGCTGGTCTCGAACTCACAGAGATCCGCCTGCCTCTGCCTCCCGAGTGCTGGGTGAAATTAAAGGCGTGCGCCATCACCGCCAATCATCTTTCCCTATCCGCATTAGCAGGGAGGAGGAGGGAACAGAGTGGAGAAGAGGGTCTCCAGGCTTCCTGATGCCTGACTTCTTACTGTCTCACTGTTCCACTACTGAGTGTTTGTCCCCTACATATGATGGATCCAAAATACCAGCAACGGCTTATTCAAATCAGAAGAAAACACCAGGTCTGCAGTATAAAATTAGCAAAAATATGCATTAAAAAAAACAACTCAACGCACATGGCTAAGTAAAAGATGCTCAATTAACTAGAGACATGCAAAGTACAAAGAGCTATTATTATCTCATATAAAACTAAGTTAAAATGATATTCACTAATGACAAAATACAACCAGAAAAACACTCTTCAAGACAGGGTTTCTCTCTGTGGCTTTGGAGCCTGTTCTGGAACTCATTCTGTAGACCAGGCTGGCCGTGATCTCAGAGAGATCCTCCTGCCTCTGCCTCCCAAGTGCTGGGATTAAAGCCGTGCACCACCGACGCCTGGGAAAAAAAATATTCTTGCCTACTTCCTGTAAGTAATTTAAATTAGCTCGTTATGGAAAACCAAAATGTTTTGCAATGGCATCATTTGATGGTATTTATATTTATTAATATGTTACTTAGCTTATCCAGTGGATAAGCTGTAAATGTAGGGCTTTGGTCACTGCTAGAAGCTACACATCAAGTGAAATCTGGCACATGATAGGTATTTTAGCAACATCTATCAAGTGAGTGAGACATACAACAATTCAAATTTTTTAATGGAGAATTTTCAGATGCAGAAAAAAAAAACTCAAAATACAATGTAAGTAAAATTAGCAGGGTAAAGACATCTATAACCAGTGTTATCCCAATTATGTTCAAATAGGACTATCAATCAAAAAACCAATAAGCAAAAGAAGTTTTACATAATTTCCTCTAAGTTGTAGGATGGCAATTGACATCTTAAAATTACTACATATATGCAACGTTAAGTTTTTCTAAAATATATTATTACCTAAAGAGATGAAAATCATTTCTTCCTTTAACTTCCCTTGGTTAAAATTTCTCCCCTAGGAAGAAACATCCACACCGCAAATATCAATGAAGCCATCAAGGCTAGTACAGAAAAAGTCCCAAAGGCCTGCGTAATTATTGACTTCTCTCCATCTGGCCCTAAACACTCATTTAAGAGGGCTTTGATAGACAGCACCTGCCCTGTGTTAAGAGCTAGGGCAAGGAAGAGAAGTCTCGAAGTCAGCTGCGCATAATCATTAAATTTCTAAGTGCCATACAACCACACAAGCAACGCTGCAGCACCGTAGGATGAATGTTGAGGGATGAGGACATGGGTCCACAACCATGGGCCTAACTGGGATGGACGTGGAGGGGCCAGACAGACCCTACAGATTCAGAGGAGTCACAAAGTGAAGGCATTAGGAATATGCTATGGCCTGAGCATTTGTGTCTCCAAACTTGTAAGTGGCTGTCCTAACTCCAACTGAACTGGTATTAGGGTGTGGAGAAAAGGGGGCTATAAGGGTGTTGTCCTCATGAGTAGGATCAGCACCTCTCTAAGAAGAGACATCAGCCAGCTGTCACATTCCATCTACCCCAAAGCCCACCACTAAAGACACAGCATCAAGACAGCCATTTGCAAACTAAGACGATTGTACCACACCCAGTGCAGCCATCCTGGGTTCAAACTTCCTGTCTGCACATTGTGAGAAAGAAATTGTTATTTAAGACACCCCAGTTATAGCAACCCGAGGAAAGAAGTATACAAAAGCCACATGTTTTTGTGTGTCTGTGCGCATGTGTATAAAGACTACATACAAAATGTATACATACAACACATACATACATACACACACGAATCAAATTATGTTCTAAAAAACATAGGAAGGTGGCAGACTGAATTTCTCTACTCAGCCACAGCTAAGACTCCTGTAACAAACACATTAACAAACAAAAAAGGGATATAAATCTATTTAATGTTTTTGTTTTTTTGGAGACAGGGTTTTTCTGTGGCTTTGGAACCTATTCTGCCACGTGCTCTGTAGACCAGGCTGGCCTCGAACTCACAGAGATCCACCTGCCTCTGCCTCCCGAGGGCTGGGACTAAAGGTGTGCACTACCAACACCCAGCTTCTATTTAATGTTTTACCTGACACAAAAATTCAGAAATAAAACCCAGTGTGCATTAAATTTGATGAGGAGTAGAAAGCTGTATATAAACATGACTGAACAAGGTGCTATGATTTAAAGACACCAGCAAAGTCCTTCTGTGTCCCCTCACCTTAAGAAATAAAAGTGCTCACTTCCTGCATGCATAAGGCAGGCATCTCTAACACGAGAGCCTTATACAGGAAGTCCGATTCAGGTTAGGACAGTGACAGCTTCCTGTTTCTGTTTCCTGAACTGCCAATGCACTACTTTAGGCACTAACAGGTGCTCAGCACCATTAATAGAGTCTAAGTACAGGACAGCTTCTAGAACACTGGTTCTCGGTGCACAAAATTTGCTGGAAATTTATATTCTTGGTTATTACCTCCCTTCTGCCAAAGCCCCCTTTGTTCCAGAACTGAGAAATCATCTCATTTTTAGTTAGTTAGCAGTTACCACCATAACTGTAATGTGGGGATAAACAAAGCAGGCTTTGAGAAACAGTAAAGACAAAAAGAAAAAAACTTTGAGCCCACACTAAGGGCTTTGGATATTATGAAGACAATGAAATGAGAGACTTGATATTTTCAGCAGATAGATGACATAATCATATTTGAGCTGCAGAATATTAAAAACAGACTGCTAGAACCTGAAAGTAACGCTGAAGAAAGCCACGGCAGGGAAGGGGGCGGGGACGCCATAATTTCTAGGCAGCTCTAAAGGGAGGAGCAAGAGTCCCCAGAGGGTTTGGAGGTCTTGCCCTGGCAGCACTTGGTGACCAAGGGATTGCAGGAGGTGAGAGATGAGGAGGCAGGTCGGGTTTTGTGCCTGGGCAGCAGATGGAAAGGTCGCGATTTCAAGCCTTTGACTGATACTGCAGGTTTGTGGGGGAAAGAGTGTGCAGCTAAAGAGACCCCAGCCTGTTACACCTGCCCAGCGCGCTTACGTGGAGCCCAGACAGATGCCTGGACCCCGCTGCTTGGAAACAGGAGAAATGGAGCACAAGCTACAGACCCGCTCATGCCTGTGAAGGTAAAGTGTGAGGGTTGCCGAAACTACCCAGGTGGAGGGTAGTCCGTCAGTCGAGGGCACTGAGTGGCCTGCCTTTTTAAAAGCCTCCCCTACTCCATGCCAAGTCCCTTTTGTCATCAATGATTCATATATTACCAAAAGATGGGGGGGGGGGATGCGCCGGTAGCCTAGTGTGCAAAGAGGAGTCGTCCAGGTGCCTGAACTAAATCAAATCCTCGCTTCGCTTCTGTTCTGCCCCGGATAGCGAGACCCTGATTATTAACTTTTCACAAGTAAAATGAGGAAACACCCCCACCACCTGCCCTGATTGCTTAATTTGGCCGTGATGGGGTTGTGTGAATAGAACCTGTGAATTTCCCCGTACTTTAAGTTGTCTTCACAAATACGTACCACCCGGACAGTATCTATTTCCCTCTCGGTAGCCAGGATTTTCATCCTCATCAACGTCAGTTAAAAAAAAAAAAAAAAAATCTCCATTTTCTTTTCTTGTTTAATCGTTACAGCAGCAGCAGCACCGCTCTGCCTTTAAGGCGGGCTGTCCCTCTAACGCCCAGCTCCCACATTTCCAGCCGCTGCCTCCGCGGTGGCCAGGGCGGTAGGAGGAGGATGCTCCGCTAGAGCGGAGCGGTAGCATCCCTAACCCACTACAGAGCCGGGTACACGGGAGGGAGGGAGGCAGGGAGGGAGGAGTGGCCCGCCCGCCCCGCCCCGCCCGCCCCGCCCGCCCCGCCGTCGGGGGTGCGGCGTGCACAGGTTAGGAACTCCGGGGACTCGAACTAGCACACCTGACTGCAGCGGCCGCGGCCGCCACGCCGGCCCGGTGCCCTGCTCCCGCCGCTCGCCCGCCGCCACCGCCCGCACTCACCGCCGCCGCTCCGCTCCGCCCGGCTTCCTGTGTGCGCCCGCGAAGCGCTTCCGCCCCGCACGGGGAAACCGCTCCCGCCGCCCTCGGGTTCCCACTCCCGGCTGCGCAGGCTGGGAGGGGCCGGGCCCTCCCCGCCCTCTCCGTCTCTGGCTCGTGCGTGCGTGCGTGCGTGCGTGCGTGCGTCCACCCGCCTGTCGCCGGCCCATCGTTTCCCCCCCATCGAGAGTCCACCAGGATAAACACAAACTGTTCTGCGATTTGGAAGTAAATCGGAAAGCGATGACAGGGGCGAGGCGATTGCAGACAGGGGCGAATAAAGCAGAGAAAAGAGAGCCGGGCGGTAGGGGTCGTGCAGGGGGCGGGGTGGGGGCTCTGTGATAAATGAAAAAAGAAAAAAGAAGCCAAAGTTTGAGCTCCCCAAGTTGCAGGGAGAAGAGGATCGGGTCAGGGTAGAGGAGAATGAAGCTCAAAATCAGGGCGAGCAAGGAAGCAGGAAAGGTGGGCAGGAGAGCGGCCTGGGACGCGGGACGGCGCGTGTCCTGGAAATACAAAGATTACTGAACTGAAGGGGGGGCAGA